GCCTGCAGACTGAAGGGTCCCAGGTTCAATTCTGGTCAAGGGCACGTGCCTGGGTTTCGGGCTCGGTTCCCAGTGGGGGGCGTGCAGTAGGTAGCCGATCAATGATTCTCTCTCATATTGATGTTTCTATCTCTTTCTGCCTCTTTCTTCCTCTCTGAAATCAATAAAAAATACATATATATTTTAAAAAGAATATATTTATTTGGTAGAAAAGAATATTGAAGAACAGCTGCTTAGGAGACACCTTGGTGGCACTGCTTGTGTCATTGGGAGTCGTTGCCCCTGCCACTACCCTCAGTCCATGAGGAAGACGCTCACCGCTGTCTCCTGCGTGCTGTCAGGCGCTGCCCAGAGTCCTGGTGGCATCCGTAATTTTGCAAATGATGCTACATTTGAAATTAAGAAGCGTGACCTTCACCGGCTGGAAGAGGGCCCTCCTGTCACCACAGTGCTCACCAGGGAGGATGGGCTCAGATACTACAGGATGATGCAGACTGTTTGCTAATTGGAGTTAAAGGCAGATCAGCTGTATAACCAGAAAATTATTCATGTTTTCTGTCACTTGTGTGATGGTCAGGAAGCTTGTTGTGTGGGCATGGAAACTGGCATAAATCCCACAGACCATCTGATCACAGTCTATCGGGCTCATGGCTTTACCTTTACTCGTGGGCTTTCTGTACAAGAAATTCTCACAGAGCTTACAGGATGAAGAGGAGGCTGTGCAAAAGGAAAAGGAGGGTCAATGCATACGTATGCCAAGAATTTCTGTGGGGGCAATGGCATCGTTGGAGCTCAGGTGCCCCTGGGAGCTGGCAATGCTCTGGCCTGCAAGTATAATGGAAAAGATGAGGTCTGTTTGACTTTGTATCATGATGGCGCTGCTAACCAGGGTCAGATATTTAAAGCTTACAATATGGCAGCGATGTGGAAATTACCTTGTATTTTCATCTGTGAAAATAACTGCTATGGGATGGGAACGTCTGTTGAGAGAGCAGCAGCCAGCACCTATTACTGTAAGAGAGGCTGTGCCGAGCCAGCTCAGCCAAGGGTTCGAAAGCCTGAGTGAGGGCGGTGAAGGGATGAAGAAATGACAGACAAAGAGAATAAGCTGAGTCTAGGTGGATCTTCCTGTGCCTGGCTGAGGCCACAGAGAGAGATCCAGATGGCAAGCTGAGCCTTTATTTTATAACCAGAGGTAAACAAGGTAGTGGTCACCATAGTTACAATGTTCTTGTGAGTTTCACTTGTTTTGGCAGCACTTGCTGCACCTCCCACAGCCCATTAGCTACCCAGGAAGGATCTAGGACAGTGATGGTGAACCTTTTGAGCTTGGCATGTCAGCATTTTGAAAAACCCTAACTTAACTCTGGTGCCGTGTCACATATAGAAATTTTTTTGATATTTGCAACCATAGTAAAACAAATTGCATGCAGTTTATATAGTATTACATTAAAGGTGATGTTCGATTTGTATAGGTCTAAGTAGGTAACAGACTTTGCTTAACCTTCCTTCAGGTTATTTCCTTAAAGTAGTTCTATTTGATCTAGTTTGTACACTATTTTAAGAAGTACTTTTTAGTTAGTGAAAGGAAAAACAGTTCCTTTATGCCTGTTTAATTCTGCCACCTTATTGTTGGGGGGTAGGGGCTCATTCCCCTGTCTCTTGGCCCAACCCCACAGCTAACAACAGCGTACTTTAATGCACACACATGCCTATAGGACAACATTTACTATAACCAGGCAGTGGGTAGAAGAACAGTTCCAGTTTTAAATAGGACTATTGCACAATCATTTCAAAGGTGAAATAACTTAAAGTGCAATTAACCAGTTACTATTAACTTAGAACCTAAAATAGTGATTCCCAGGCTTTTTGTTAAACACCCACTGTTTTATCTTTGCAGCAAATGCTATAGAGGATGTGCTGATTTTTTTCACTGAAGTAAATTAAAATTCATTTTCAAGAATCCAATAATAATAATAATAATAATAAAGAACAGCTGCAGGTGCGGATTCCTGGGTTTAACATGGAGGCCTTCACGACAACTTTGCAGCATCACAGAGATGAAGTGCTGGTGACATATTTGGCATGCTGCTCACGTTTACCGATTTTTTGGCTTTTAAAGAAATGTTTCTGGACTACAGAGCAGAAAAAGAAGGCCGGGGACTGAACTTAAGCAGTGGTTTAGTGGTGACGTTGATACTGGAACCGGTGAGCAGGCATTCTTCCCAGGGTCGTGTCTCACGGAATCGAAGAATGAAGCCGAGGACCAGAGGAGTTCAAACAAGGCAGGAATTTATCCTAAGCGAACACAGGCTCCCTGCCTGACCCAAATGGGCCGACCCCGAAGCATCTGTCCTTCCCCTAATATCTGCTAAAGGCCGGCTCTTTGTCTATCTGTGCGGCTCTCTGAGTGGTTCCTGGCCTTTTTGCAACGTTTTATTTTGCACTTGCAAGAAAAACATCCTTGTTTCAAAACGCCCTGTTTTTCTGCTAAACATTTTGTGGTTTCAGCTAGCTCCATGATTCCTCCTTCTCCACCCCTTACCCGTCTGCCCAATTCTGCTTTAACTCCTTTCAACGTAACTGTGCAAATCGTTCTCTCTGCCTGCTTCCCAGAACAACCTGTGGCACGAGGCCCCCCTCCAGCAATGAGATTGTCCCAGACATCAGCCCAGTGCACCGGGAGAGCTTCAGGTAGCGATGGAAGGATAGATCTTGGGGAGACCAGCTTTGTTCTGCAACTCTGTTAATGTCAAGTACTGATGGGCCAAGAAAAAAAATTGTGTGACCCTCCTGGGATCCGTTTCTTCAGAAAACCCTTGTGTTCAGTAACCCTACTCCTCCTCCCTCGGTGGACATCCTCCCTTGAGTCGGCTCCTCTGGACAAATCTACATCCAGCATTCTACCTGGGGGGCCTTCCCTAGTTAGTACACGTGTTGATGAGTTGCACCAATGGGGTTTTTACTGTTGGGGAGCATTTATGGAGGGTGTTCCTCAAGCCAGCTGCCTGCCTTGACATTTCTGGAGCTCCTATTGTCACAGCGAGTCTTGGCTGTAGGAATCGACCGAGATGTCCTTTACCTAAAAGCTACCTGTCCAAGTCAATTCCTAGTCTCGCATTTGCAGTCCCTGTATGGCTGTCTTCTGCTGGTCCGATATAGTCCCCCTATTTCTAGGACTCTCTTTTAAGCATTTTTGAAAAAACTATTTTTATAGATAAATGCTCAGACTGACCTAGTGGATATAATCTTGGAAGTTCCACGATTACCCACTTCAAGATCAAAGTATTATTGAAGTATGGTAGCAACCATCAGGTAGAAACTGTAGTTTAACTCTAACCCTGTTGTTTGGCTTAACAATAGAAAGGTTACTTTGATTTTCTAAATTGTATAGGTCATCCCATTCGATTGAATGCCTTATTGATTGTAATGTGACTATCCCATTGATTGTGATCTTACTGGTTTTAGAAAGCAAATTCCTCTGTACCTGGGAACCAGGACAGCACAATTATCCCAAGACCTGAGGGTTCCAGATAATGTTTCCCTGTCAACTCAGTGGCCCCAAGACCCGAGTGCTCTAAATAATGTGTTTCTGTCAACTCAGTGGTCCCAAGACCCGAGGGCTCTAGATAATGTGTCAACTCAGAGGTCCAAAGACCCAAAACTATAAACAATCTTTGTAGATAACTAATCAGCTCAATCTCGCTTCTGTAACTGCTTTGTGCAAACCAGGGTCCTCATTCCAAACCCTGGGATGCAATCAATACCTTTGTGATTTTTGCCTATATAAGTATGGTTTTGCCACCATCTTACTACTATGAGATTTGGGAATGGCCCCTCATAGTCCCGGATTGCAATAAATGTGACTTAATTCGACTTCTTGAGGCGTCCTTCTGTGATTCGCGGGGTACATTACAACATTATATGCCGTGTGCTTTTTAGTTGTTCGTGCTGGTGAAACAGAATTTTTGGACTGGAACACATGGTGTTCCCCTGGGCAGATTGGTTCCCGGGTTCTTTGTCCGTGGGAATCGAAGAATGAATCCACGGACAGAAGGTGGCATAGCAAAGGTGGAGATTTATTGAGGAACAAGTACAGACTCCACGTGGGGAGGGGGAGAGAGTCCCACTGAGTTCCTTTTCCCTATAGCTTATAAAGGTTGTAGATCTTCGTGCCTTAATATCCCCTCTAATTGGTCACTATTCCCTTAGTCTGGTTACTATAGTAACTTCTGAGCTCAAAAGTCGAACTTCACGTGGGACATGTGAGGTTTTCCTCCCCTCCTTCCTTTTATTTTGTAAATATAGACCTTTTGCTGTTCCCAGCTCCCTCATTCTATGGAAGTGTACCTGTTGCAGCTTTTCAGCTCCCTATTCTACGGAAATATACCTTCCGCTGCTCTGCAGCCCCGTGCTTTTCCATGGTCCTCTTAATTTCTAAAATTTCCTAAACCTGTCTCTTTCATCCCTAAAAATTCCTGTTTCACTGGGAAAGCAGAAATGCTTTCTGTGGGTGCTCCAGTGAGTGTGTGCTTACGCTCGAAGTAAAATCTCCTTTTCTTATAGCATGTTGAGTGTGCAGGTTTGCTTACATTTTTTCTGTATAGCTCGGTTGGTTAGGGTATCTGTCGGGATAGAGGGTCTGCAATGCCCTCTTCTTGTCAAAATCTTCCTGCCAAGACAGACTTCTGGTCTAGCTCAGCAGGAGCAGGAGGGAGCGGACAGCTTTCCTGCGCACGGCTGCTTTGAGTTAGTACATTGGCTTCGCGCTGTGTGTGATAGACCAGAAAACGTGGCTGTCACATCTCGAGAAGGAGAAAACAGTTCCATTCCCAGTGTGTACCTTAGATTTTTAAAGTAAAAATAAGAATCCGTATGACTTTTCACGTGACCGTTCTGGTTTTAAAGGATGAGCTATATATAGGCTGTGTGTTTTCTGTACTCATGTGGCACTTTAATTAAATACTTTTACCGTGAGTAAAATTTGAGGTGTTTTGCAAGAAAAAAATTAGAAGCAAGTTACAGAATAATACATAAACTATGAAGCCATTTATCTAAAGTTCAACACAAGTAAGGGAGAATTGTGGCCAGCCGCTCTACTACAGACATAGAAGGCCCATCACTGATGCTCTGCCTACTGGGAAACCCGGCCTCCCTGAGACTTTTTTATGTTTGTCAAGAAACAGGTCATTTGGCTGAAAGTCCCAAAGGGACTTTATCCCCTGGAAAAGGTAAACGTCCCATGGGTTAGGAGCTGGACTCCAATTCCTAGCTTTTTCCAAGGAGGGTGTCAGTAGGGAGGAAGGGGTGAGAGGAACTGATATGACTGGCCAGGGACAAAAAAGACTAAGGCCGATCACCCACCTAAAGAATGAAGTCCTGGCTCTGCTACCAATTTCCTTGTGTGACCTCATTTCTGACAGTTTGGTGCAAGAGAAAGAACATGAGCTTTGGGATCTGCTACTTAGCAGCTGTGTGACTTGGAACTATTTACTTAGGTTTTCTAACATTTAATTCCCTCGTTTGTCAAAGGGAGATACTGATCCACACACAGAGCTGTTGTAAAGAGGCGAGACAGGGATTTTAAACATTTACTGACTGCATTTCTCTTTGCTTTCATCAATTTTGAACCTTAGTTGCCCCACCCATAAAATGGAAGCATTAGATATCTTTTTTAAGAGAAATGGGAAATACAGAACTTTTAAATGAAATATCCAAATCCTGACCTGTTGGAAATAAAAAAAACTGTAAAGACTTTTTTTTTAAAACTAATTTTTAAATGTGAAAGTTACTGGGTTGTGGGGTGAGGGTTATGATGTGAGAGAGAACCCTTACTATATAATTCAGGCAAATCAGTTTACTTCCCAGAACTTCGATTAGCCCATCCGTAAAACGGACCCACCTTTGTGTAGATAAAAAAGAGATTAACAAACTCATACAGACAACACCAGGGAGGGTAGTGGGGGCAGGAAGTGGATAAAGGCGATCAAATATACGGAGCCCGAAGGAGACTAGACTTTGGGCGGCGATATTTTACCTCAGTACATTTAATTTTTAAAAAGAGCTCAGGTGTGTGAAACGCGTAGCATACATAACACCAGCGCACAGTAGGCACAGCACACAGCACGGGGCCGCGGTAGCCTTTTTTTTTTTTTTTTTTGTGGGAGTAGATTGGAAAGCATGTATCCAAGGAGCCAGCTATCCCCGAGTCCAGGAGACCGGAAAAGCGTCGCTGGCGAAGGAGAAAAGACGGCAAAGGGGGAGAAACAGGAAAAGGGAAGAGGCGGGGAGGCAACAGGGCCCGCCCTCCAGGCGGGGCGCCA